TCGCCTGCTGGTCCCTCGTCTGGTGTTAGGTTCAGAGTGGCTGCTAGGTCAGCCGCTTAGTAAAACTGGTCTGGCCGAAGGTGGCCCCCAAAAAAAAACAAACTTGGCATCGCTCAGACATGTGCATGCTTCTCGATGGGGGCCACCGGGGAGCATTGCAGGTCATCTTGCAAAAAGCGGCGGCGAGCCTGGGGGGGAAGTGAGAAGGGGCGGGCCTCCTCAGAAGGCTCGGAAGTCCCCGGGCCTTCTGAAAAGCTTTCTGAGCCTTCCCCGAAGACGCAGAACACTTCTCAGAAGGCGCGGGGGGTTTCGCGGAAGCACCGCCGACGCGTTCCCTCGCGCGCCGCCGAGCCAAAAAGCCACGCGCGACACCGAACAATGCACGGGCAGCGGACGTCCGAGCGATGGCCCGCAGGCCATGCAGTCAGCCCGCATAGTAGGGATGGGCAACCTTCCCTAGGGTACCCTTGCAGCCTTGCCTCCTCGCTCCGTCCTTGGCCGCTTTCGATGGCCGCGCTCCGCTCGAAGAGCTTCGACGTGGGCGCCCGAGGCCCTCGCACCCTCACCGCGCATCCTTCCTGTACGGGTCGACTGTACAGTGCCGTTTTTAACACATGCTCCGCGTGCGGATCATGTATTAAAAATGCCAGGGTTTTGTATCAAAAACAACGGTGGGTTCATGCATACATGTAATCATACATTGATCATGGATTAAAAAACCGATGTTTTTTTATTTTGTTTAAACAAAAAACTCATCCTATGTCTTAAAAGCTGCCCTGTGCGCGGCTCCTCGGTGGCGCGCCGCCGCGCGCCCGCGCTCCCGGGCGCGCAAAGGCAGCCCGCCCGCTCGCGGCCGGAGCCGGCCGGCCGCCTGCTCCGCGGGCGTGCGGCCGCGGGCCGCGCCGGGGGGAGGCCCGCCGTGGGCCAAGCGGGGGCCCAGCGGAGACCCAGGGGAAACAGCTTCTGTTTTTGTTTTGATTGTTTTGTTCGATTCGCGGGTCGAGAGCGCACCTCTTCTGGTCGAAGCTTGAATTAACAAAGAGGGGGGGGCAGAAGGAGGGGCCTCACGTCAAGGCCAGGAGGGGGCAAAGCCCCGGAATCAGGCGGTGCCGAAGACGATGTGCTTGCAAAGGAGCGCCTTGGACAGGAACCCGGCGGCGAAGTACCGGGGAAAAACACACAGACACAATTCATGGTCGATTCCGTCGCAAATGGCGGAGACCCCTGCCAAGATGCACCCTTCAGGAGGGGAGACAACACGCAGACACAAGGGAGTGCCGATTCCGTAGGACATGCGGGAAAGTATGGGAATTGGGGGGAAGACGAGCATCCCCAAAAAGGTGGAAGAATATGGGGAATCCTAGGAGTTGTGTGTATGTATTTCGTGTGTCCCAGAGCCCCTTTGGCCCTGCCTGCCTCCAGGGTGCCCCCATGGGTTGCTGCTGGTCTCGCGGGTTTTGCGAGATGGAGAGTGCGACGTCCCCGCGCCCAGGCTCCATGGGAGCCCTGGGTTCTCGGGGTTGGGTTTCGGTTTCTTGTGGAAGGTTTCGTGCGGACTGGCCTCCACTGTATAGCGCCCCGGACGGGGGCCGATGCGCCCGATGCGCCCGCCGTCCACGAGCCCCCAGAGATCCGACGCTCCCCAAAAAATTGGAGCGGGCGGTTTTGGGCCGTCTTCGGCCTCCGGGGGCCCTCGCCGGGCCCCGGGAGCGCCCCAAAACGATTCAGAACGAAGCAGTGGCCCCCAGGGAAGTGGTCCAGACCTCCGGGGCCCACGCATCGAAGAAATTGGACCTGCCTGATGTCTGGGGGGGTCATGAGGATGGTAGGTTCAAGAATTGCCAAGGGTTCTGATTGTGCTACGCGGGCTTCAGACACGAGGGCCGACGGACACGTGCCTGGAGCTTCTGGAACGCATCCAGGGCCAATCGCGCCACGATGTCATCCCCCGTCCTGCTGGTGGCGCCGAGCTTGCCCCCCGTCGCGTCTGCAGGGCGTCTGTGATGGAGCTCCCGCGGACAGCGTCGCCCTCCTCCGCAGGCCCAGCCGCCACAGAGGTGGGCCTGCCGGGCGCAGCCCTGGGAGGCCACGGTGGCACAGCGTGCCACGTCCAGAGGAGTGACCTCGGCAGGGATCGCCCTGCCGTCGGACCCCACATCGGAAGGCATTTTGTCTGGCATCGCTTGGACGTGAGCACTTTCTCAGCGAGGACCATCGAGGAGCATCCTGGATCATCGGTCGAAGAAAGAGACGCCGTAAAACATGTATGGGGAACGGACGTTCGAGCGATGGCAAGTTCACGAATTCTGCAGCAGAGGCCCAGTCATACCCAAAAAGAAGTCTGGCCCGTGAACGGGCAAGGCACGATGTGGAAAAGGCGGTGCGACCTGCGTGCGTGATGTGAAGGGCGCGCACGACGAGTGGGCAAGCTTTCTGTGCCGCCGCGAAGAGGGGGAGAGGGGGAGGGGAGGGAGAGGGGGAGGAGGGAGAGAACGCCCGCTTAGAACGTCCACAGCTCGGGAAGCACCTTGGCATCGCTCGGACGTGTGCATGTTTCCTTCGGCGAGGGCCATCGAGGAGCATCCTTGATCATTTGGCGAAAAAACCACGTACGAAACCGAAAAAACACAGGGAACAGACGTCCGAGCGATGGCGAGGCACACGCGGCGCCGCAGGACGGTGAGCCCCAGGCCAACGAGCTTGCACACCGGCTTCGTCTCTGCGAATCTCCGCTCGCGCTTCGCACGCGGGGAGCCGCGCCACCGCGCACGGGCCGCGTCGCGTCACGCGACTCGCCGTCCGCTTATGTGCCACGCCGCGGTTTTCTCACGCCATGCCACGGTCGAGCTCGCGACGTGGCGCTTCGAGGCCATCGCGGCAGGTCGGGTTGCGCTCGCCAGCCTCGTCCGTCAGTCACCGCCCACCGAACCACCCCAACCCAACCCGAAGGCCCCGATTTGCCCTCCATTTCCGGTGGGGGGCGGGGTGGGGAACATGGACAAAAACACATCTGAAGCCCGTACCCCCCCAAGCCGAAGTTCGGGCGAAATTCGGGTCTTCGGGTTGGGTTGGGGTGGTCTGGGCGGCAGTCCGTCAGACCTGGCGGCGCGCGCGGAGTCGCGCGCCCTTCCTTGGCGTCGCAGAGCCGGTGTGTCACCAGGCCCGAGCTCGTGCCTCCGGCATCGCGGAAGAGCGGCGGGAGACGCCCGCCGATCGACGTGCTTCGTGGACTCTCTCGAAGAAGTACAAGGACATAATCATAAACTGCTTTGGCGCTCCGCGCGGATTTTCAGAGCTTGAATTACCTACCCCGCTTTCGCTTCCAGGCAAGACCAAGTCATACCACGCGCCTCCTAGTCAAGCGGCCTGACCAGCGCAGGCCGTAGTTTGGCGTCGCTTGGTATCTCTTGGAAGCGAGGGTGGTCAAAAGAGAGGTAGGTTTGTTTGCGCCCTAGATTTCTTGGGTCCGCGCCGGGGCGGCGGCGCCTCCGGCGCCGCCCCCGGCGCGCTCCGCGCGCCAGGGAGGGGGGTCCAGCGCAGACAAGGCATCCGCGCGGAGCGCCGAAAGCTCATGCTTCTGCTGCTGTCTCCTTCTCCTGGGCTCTAGACTCGCGTCGCGTCTTTTCTTCGAGCCCGCCGTGCCTCGCATGCGTTCGCTCGCGGAGCAGAAGGTGTCCTCGGTGGATACCTCCCCAGCGCTGCAAGAGCGCGCCTCCGAGCCCGAGGTCCTCGCGCTGGACCCGGGTGCGGCAGCTCCTCTGCACGCCTTTTTCTCCCCCATCCTCCCTCGGCCGGCTCTCTCCTCTCCCCCCCTGCGCCTCCTACTGATATATATATATATATATATACACATATATATATGTATATATATATATAAGGATCGAAGAAGAAAGAACGGCATACATATAAACTGTTGGCTCTCCGTGCAGATTCCTTCGATCCGCGTTGGGGCCCACCCAGCGGCGCCTCCAGCGCCGCCCCTGGCGCGCTCCGCGCGCCAGGTAAGCAGGGGGGTCCAGCGCGGATCCAAGAAATCCGCGTGGAGCGCCAAACGTTTAAGTTTGTGCCGTTGTTTTTTCCACTAACATAGCACACACGGGTCTGAGAGCTCTTCTGAAAACCTGTTCCCCTCCCATCCCCCCTCAGCTGGCCCTCGTCTTCCCCCCCCTGGTGCCTCCAACTGCCTTGTATTATATAGCGCACAGTGCTGCGGGGTCCGTCTCCGGAGAAGTACAGTCAACCCGCATGGCAAGGATGGGTCGGCTCATCATCGGCCACCCTCGTTGGCCAACCTCGTTCGAAAAGCGCTAACGTGGGCCTTCAAGGCCCCTGCATCCTTGCCGCGCATCCTTATGATACGGGTTGGCAGTACATCGCAGGCAATGCATGGACTCGAGCCGAGGTCTGAGCAATAAAGAGGATGTCTTCGGTGGTCGAGCAGGCGCTGCCGCGCTGCGTACTGCAGGCGGCTCGTGCCTGCTTGTGCGCTGTGTAGCCCATCCCACCGAGGTCGCGCTCGTGCCTCTGAGCTTCCATCGGAGGGGCTCGGGCAGTCACACGTTACAGTGGAGACCCATGCCAAGAAACTCTCTGCTTGCTTCCAGGGTGCCCTTGCGATGGAGAGCGTGACGTTCCCACCAAAAATCAATGGACGTCCTGGGGTCTCAGGGTTGGGCTTCATGTGGGAGGTTTCTCGTGGTCGGGCCACTGCTGTACCGGCCGCGCGTTCCCACGATGGCGCGCTCCAGGCGGCTCGCGGCACGACACGGAATCTTCGTGGCGATTCTTGGCCATCGTTGCGCCTTCCTCCACGGGTGTATCTCCATCTAGAGCGCCCCGCCAAGAAGGCACAACCAAGGCGCTCTGATGCGTAATGATAAAATTGGTCCCGGGGAGGCCTTCGACAAATGCTGGGAACTTTCCTCGGTTTGCTTCAGCCAATACATGAGTGGCACGCGCGTGACTATCTTTCCTTGCCGTCCCCATCCAGCCCGCCGCAGGCCACGTTTCAGAGATGGTTAGTGCTCTTCCTTATCGCCGGGGGCATGCTCATGCTTTGCGACGGCGCAGAAGGGGGGGGAGAAGGGCACGGCAGGGTTTGAAAAGTCCAGGGCCAGCGCATCAGATATTTGGAGAAGGGCCTGGGAGCATACGCAGAGCCTTCGTAGCAAAGACGCCTCTGATGTTTGTGCTCTCAGCTGCGCTTCGCGTTGAGCTTTCCAGTGGCGCAGCTGTCACCTCAAGCAGTTTTCCGACGCCCGAGTTTTGCCCAAGGGCCAAGGGCCGATATTTTCGTAGGAGCATGTCGCTTAAGCTGTCGTGGCGACAGTCTGTATGCATTTGCGAAGTTGGTAGTGTCTTGCTGCAGGCGATAATGCCTCCGAGCTGGCGCGAATCGGAGTGCTCTTGGGAAGCGTGAGTCTGGTACCCAGCCGCTGGGCTCAGACCACTCTCGGGAGCAAAGCGGGGGTACCCTTTGTCCTGCCGGTTGCAGGAGCTGGGGACGGAAAAGGTGTTCACAGGAATAAGACAAGGACGAGGGGGACGACGATGAGGAGGAGGAGTAGCAGCGGCAGAAACGGCAGAAGGGGAGGATAGAGAGAGTAATAGAGAGAGAGAGAGAGTGAGGTGAGGTGAAGTGAGCGGAAGGCTATGCAATGATTAGTGGTGCTCCGCTGGGGCCGTTCAGACTGTCTACGGGTTCTCTGGGGGGCGCGCTGGGGGGATGTTCTGAGGGCTGAAGTAATGTTGGCTGCCTACTTGAAACCTTTCTGGAGCCTTCTTGAGACCTTTTCTGGGGCCCTCTCGGGCCAGCCTGCAAGACGCAAGGACCATTCCGAAGCCCTTAAAGCACTTCTGTGGGCGTCCTGATCCAGAAAGGCAGACAAGCGAAACATGTACAAGACGCGCATGTCCGCTGCCTTTCTTGGCCTTCTGGGGACCCTTCTTGGGGTCTCTTCGGGACGCTTTAGACTTCTCAAAAACCCAGTGGGACTCCTATGGCCGCCTTGGTACGTCTAGGCGGCATCTTGGCGTCCTCTTGGGTCACCACGGGCCTGTTTTGCCCGTCCGCGGGCCGCACGACAGGATATTCGAGCCGCCAGAGGTTCCAATTTGGAGAGACTTTCAGGTGGCGGCAGCAGCTGGGGCGAAGGATGGTGGAGGGTAGTCAAGAATGGGAGTTGAAATGCAGTCACATCTTTGAAAGACGGCACGCTTTGGTTTCGAAAGAGGCGTAGCGTTCCTCAGGCTCTCCGTTGATCTTTCGTGGTCCTCGAGCATTTCGGCGCAGCTGAAGCCCAAACATGGCTTACAACCCCATGGATGGAGAAGACGTGTCCGCAGAGGTTGACTACAGGAGGTTACGACACGCACGCGCTTGGGGCTGCGAACATCACATGATATGATCCCATGGCCGTAGACGTTACAAACAAACCATGCGGTTGGGGCTGCGAACCTCTTACGATGTGATACCCTGACGGGGGACATTGCAAATGACAAGCACGTGCTCGGGGCTTGCGCAAACTGCACGATGTGATGCCGCGGTAGTGGACACCCCCCCTGGGTCAAACAGGTCAGACTGCAGAGGTCGCACCAGAAGCGCTGCGCGCTTCCCTGTAGACCGCGGGGGCACAGCACAAGGTTGCAGTTTCCAGCTCGCGACCATCCAGTCCATATACCGCTCTTGGGTATGAGAATGGCTAGATGAGGTATTTATTCAGGGGAAGCAAAACAAAGCGGAGCCGACAATTGGCGTTGACTAAACGGCATCGGGCTTTTACTAAACAGCCCTGCCCTGTTCGATTCCTTCTTCGGGTGCGTTTACTAAACGGCCTCGCTTGTCGGGGTGGTTATTATGGGGGTGGATTGCTTGCCTTCTTTTGACGGACTCGGAATCGCAACCCGCGTAAAGCATCCTCGGAAAACACTCTCCTGTCGCCTTTCGGGGCGACCTGGAAAGCGGCGGTTTGGACGCCCTGGGCGACAAATTCTCCAGCCAAATTTGGTGTTGTTCGCTCGACACTTTTTCAAAACGAAGTCTCTGGTCCCGTTCCGTGCCTCCAGATGGTGTCGGTTTCGCTCGAGGCCTCCTGACGATTGGCCCCATTCCATGCGGCCAGACAACTGAAGATGTTGTCCAGGGCGCGTTCGAAGATCGTACAGCCGGGCTGCTGAAATAAGGAACGCCGAATACGGAACGAAGCCCCTCTGCGGCTTCGAAAAAGCCTGGGTGCACGGAAAGGGCTAGAGGAACAACCGCGGAGGGACGTAAGGAACATCGAGCCCCTTCCGAATCCAAACTGTTCCGCATTTCAGCGTCTTGGCTGTGGACCGATCGGAGATCGAACGCCCAGGACCTGGGCCTCGGGGTCGGTCAGCGCTCGGATGCCGAGGCTCGGTCGGAGAGCGAGCGCGCTGGAGGCGGTGGCTCCCTAAAGCGAGGGGCGGGATGATTTTGATCCAGGAGGTCGCAGGTTCGCCTCCAGGGTTACACAGTGTTCATGTCTGATTTTTCGGAAGGTCTTTGATTTTCGCTGGGGGCCAAGATCCTCTCATCTCTAATTGTTCTATCCTGGGCCTCTTCCTGGCCACCAGGGGGCCAGGAACAACGAGAAACGAGCGCAATTAGAAATGAGCACCAATAGAAATGAGCGACGTGTATGTATGACAGAATCTGATCGTGTTGGGCTGTAAGCTGCAACCACCTAGCACACACCCGGTCTTCGAACCTCTTTCGCAGTCTGGACGTCAAACCATTCGTTATCTGCGTTGTCTTGAGGCTCCTTTCTCCCCCGTGGTGTCCTCTCGGAGCGTGCTCGGGCGATCGCGGGGCCGTCTGGGCGCAGTGCCGGGGCCGTCCCGGGGCCTCCGTCGGTGGCCTCGGGAGGCCCTGCGGCGGCCCCGGGGGGGGGTCCGTGGCGAGGCCCCCGGGGGGGGGGGAGGGGCGGGTCCCCGGGGGGGTGGCGGGGCCCCCGGGGGTGCGCCGTGGCGAGGCCCCGGGGGGGAGGGGGGGGGGGCCTCGGGGGGAGGTTCGGAGCCCCTGCGGGAGGCCTGGGGGGGGCCATGGGGCGCCCTGGGAGGCCCTGCGCGGCCTGGGGGCGCCCAGGGAGGATCCTCCTCCTCCTCCCCCCTCCTCCTCCTCCTCCTCCTCCTCCTCTTCCTCCTCCTTCTCTCCTCCTCCTCCTCCTCCTCCCCTCCTCCTCCTCCTCCTCCTCCCTCTCCTCCTCCTCCTCCCTCCTCCTCCTCCTCCTCCTCCTCCTCCTCCTCCTCCTCCTCCTCCTCCTCCTCCTCCTCCTCCTCCTCCTCCTCTTCCCTGGGGGCGCGGGCCCGTGGATTGCACAAAGGAGCCGTCGCACGAAGTGCGACGGGAAGCGCGAAGGGACCGCTCAGATTGCCGGACCGGACAAGAGAGCGCTACCATAGTTATTGGGTGTCTTCTCGGGCCTCTGCAGGCTGCCAGAACGGCCTGGCCAAGAGGCCTTCCAAGATGGCTCTATAGAGGCCTCCCGAATGGCGCACGAACCCCGAGCGGCCGCCAAGACGCCCCACGACGGCTCAGGAGGGCGTGCTCGCTGCTAACGCTAAGGAGGTAGAAGATGAGCGGGCGCGAAGCGAGCCCAGTAAGCTCGGATGGCAAGCACGTCGACGGACACGTTGTGTGGTCCATTGTGCATTGTGCTAGCCTTCAGTGCAGCCCGCAATGTGTGCCCACAGGGAAGTAGGTGGCAACCAGCACGAGTTGACGGCGCCCAGGTCCAACTTCATTCAATAACTTGCCCTGCGAAGCCCACAACCAAGGAGACCCGTTGATGGCACACAGGTGTCTGTGGAGGCCCGTTCCGTAGGCGCTGCAGGGAACATTGCTGCGTCAAATTGGAAGGTGTTTGACAAGCGAGCGCGGTGTTTGATTGGTGCTCGCGTACAGTTTCCAGGCCGATTCCAACCATACAGCCAACCCGTCTGATATGGATGGGCAACCCTCCCAAGGGTACTCTTGCATCCTTGCCCTTTCGGCCCATCCTGAGCGACTTTCGCTGGCCAACCTCGTTCGAACAACGTTAGCATGGGCCTTCAAGGCCCTTACATCCTTACCGCGCATCCTTATGATACGGGCCGACTCTAGCTTCCAGCTTAGATGTCCAGAAGGTGGGTTCCCCCGCGACCGGAAAAAACCGGCCGTCGCGAGCTCTGTTGCGCCGCCCAGATGCGAGGGCAGGATGGGGAGAGCGAAGTCGTCCCTCTCCTCCTCCTCCTCCTCCTCCTCCTCCTCCTCCTCGTCCTCCTCCTCCTCCTCGTCCTCCTCCTCCTCCTCCTCCTCCTCTTCCTCCTCCTCCTCCTCCTCCTCCTCCTCCTCGTCCTCCTCCTCCTCCTCGTCCTCCTCCTCCTCCTCCTCCTCCTCCTCCTCCTCCTCCTCCTCCTCCTCCTCCTCCTCCTCCTCCTCCTCCTCCTCCTCCTCCTCCCCCCTTCCTGGACGGCACTCTCCGTTTCGCAATCGATCGCGAGGCGGTAGGTACCCGCCCGACGCGGGGGGGTCCACCTCACCTCTCAACGCCACCGGTGGGGGGGGAAGGTTCGCGGCGGCGCCCTTGCCGCGTAGCCGTCTGCCCGCGACGGAGGTCTTAGGACTCGCTCGGACGTGTGCATTGTTCCTCGGCGCGAGGACCATCGAGGAGCATCTGGGATCCTCTCGTTTGGCAGCAGATCATGGGAGCCTTGTGTACCCTCGCAATTTTGTCTTTAGCGTCGACTAGCGTCTGGGAGTCGATGAGATAGCGCCGGTTCAGCGTCGGCTAGCGTCGGTTCAGCGTCGAGCAGCTCTGATTTAGCGTCGACCAGCGTCAATTTGCACGAGCCGACGACATGGTATGGCAGGCTCCCAGGAGTGGCCTCACAAAAAAGACGCGCGAAGCCGCCAAAAATGCACGGGGGAGAGACGCCCGAGCGATGGCGAGGTCGATCAGGACATTGCCGGCGGGGGCGCCGACCCCCGGGGCTCATCGATCAGCGCGAGGTAGAATTCAGGAGCGAAAGAAGGACGTACATGTACATGAATCCACGCTGGTTTCGAGAGCACGCGTTGCACAAATGTTCGTATCACGCGGCCGGTCACGCGAATCGAGGGGCCGTGTTCATGTACATAGCTGGGCGCGTACGTCCTTTGTGGGCTCCCTAAGAATCCGCCCCTCGTCGCTTTGCGCCCCCGGCTTCCTCGCGGTCTCCCCCGCATTCCTCTCGTCTGGCCTCGCTGTTTCTTCCTCGTCGGGCCCGGGGTCGGCACAGGCAACCCTCTCTTGAGCAAGCTCGCGGCGCTGCTGGTGGGGCTCGCTGCCGTCGCGACGGCCTCCGTCCCCGCGATCTTGCATTGCTGGAGGAGGCTGGTTGGGGGCTGGAGCAGAGCAGCTCACCCAGTCCAGTGCGAGTGTCGGATTATTGTGCATCTGTTGGTTCACGCATGGCTTGGGTGGAGCGGAGGGTCAATTAGGGCCATTGTGGAATCCAGATCCATGCGACGAAGCCACGACTGAATCAAGCTTCTTCGCAGCTCGACTTGAGGGCGTTTTGCGTCACCAGCGCACTAGGCACCCAATATGAGCCCATCTTTTCCCGCATGTCGGGAGCTAGCAAGTGGACCACGCAGCGAAGCCAGACGGAGTATCCTATGCAGGACGCTCTGATTGTACGTGAAGCTTCATTTCAAACCAGAGGGGAGGAGGCAGAGGGAAGGGTCAAGCTACCCTGCCCGCCCGCAAGCCGTTTCGCTCACTCCCACCCGCCCTCCCAACACATACGTAACAGCCGAGTCTCAGCATATCGCCTGCGCGCGGCTAGCAATATGCTGGCACCCCCGCCGTCCCTATCAGAAACCAATTTGAAGTGGTCGCGGGGCATCCGCGCATGCTCTCGGTTTGGAGGCAAAGCGAATTTTGTATCGTTTTTGAAAGGAAAGGTCGGCCTGCGCGCAGCAAGCAATATGCCAACACCCTAGCCGTCGTTTTGAAAAATCACTGCGAAGTGGTCGCGGGGCGCCCGCGCATGCTCCGAATTTAGAGGCAAATCGTAGTTTATGTGGTTTTAGGACAGGGATGGATGGTCGGCCGGCGCGAAGCAAGAAATATGCCGACACCCCCGTCGTCCTCGTAACAAACATTGCGAAGCGGTCGCGGGGCGTCCGCGCACGCTCCAAATTAGGAGGCAATGTGTTTGTTGTATTGTTTTCTGGCAGGGATGGTGCGGGGGCGGGCCCTCATCGGTGCCCGCGTGGGTCTGGGTTGGCTGCCAGTCGGGTGGGGGAGGGGACGTTTACTGACAGGGGCCAGTGGTAAATCCCTCTCCGAAGGTGAAGCAGGGGGTTGAAGCAGGTGACTTCGAAGTTCTAAACAATCCACGCCCAGACCGCAGCTGGGATCACTCGAATGCGCATTCCAATCGATGGACCTGAAATGCACATTGCAAGCAGAGGGCAATGTTGCAGCTGTTCCCGAGTAGGTAAGAAAGACACGTGCTTGTACCGTCCGGGGGTTCAAAACAAGCGTTTCATCATGGTGCTGTGCTCTACCCCAGACGGTGTCAGGGAACGAGTCTGGAGGAAACAGGCTAAGGTTGGGCGCCTGAGAGTAAGTTCCTTGGCCCTTGTCGGGCAAACTTCGACCAAGCGTGTAAGCTTTGAAGTTGGAACCCCAAGTGGCACGACGCAATGCCACAATCTGAAATGTGTTTGCACGGTGGCACGTGGGTCGGCCTCATTACTCGCAGAGATTGTCTGAGGCTGCGCCTTTCAAGATTGGTTTTCTGTTCGTAATGCGTTCAGTTATTGTGCCTGCTGGCTTCGTCAATGAGAGCATCTTGCACATTCATACCATCCTCCAGGCAATCCTCCAGACAACGCTGACGATCGTGTAGCGGCTTCGGTCGCTCGCTTCCCTCAGGCCACTGTAGAAGTGTGTCAACATGTCGAATACAAGACACTTCAGGTATTCTCCATATTCTTTATTTGGAAGGGCGCTGGCCCAAGTCCCCCAGCTATTCTCTACCACCCCAGACCGACGGCGTGTTTTTCCTACGTGTGGTCCCTGACGTGATCGATCCCTTCCAGGGGATCGGTCTTTTTTCTCATACCGTTCCATGACGCACGCGGGGGCAGTGATGCCGAGCATGAGCAGAGACGCGGGGATTCAACAAACCATTGCGTGGGAGGTTTTGGTCCTGGGACGCTTCGCGCTTGGCGGCGCAGATGAGCAGAAATCTCGCGCGACGGCACCTCATCAGGCGGAAAGGAGCCTGCGATGTCGCGGGCAGCTCTGCCCGACGACCGACAATCCGACGACGACGACGACGAGCGTCCGCTCGCAACGGGAGGAGCAACCCTCAGATCTTGGCGTCACCACAAAATCAAGACGGCCAGGTTTCCGCCATTCTCGGCATTCACAGGCGCGTTTGTGCGGCACCGGCCCCAGACGGCTCAGGAGAAGTCGTTCCCGGGGAGGGGGTCGAGAGGTTTTCGAGTTTGAGATTCGAACGAAGACGCATCGTCGCAAGTCTGGGAAGAAGAGGACGAAAAGGCGGCGGAGAAGGAATACGAGGAGGACAAATCATGAGGAACACAACCAGGAGGAGCAGGGTGACAGGGAGAGGGGGAGGACAGCAACTTCGGATAGCAGGAAGAGAACTAGGAGGAGGAGGAGGAGGAGGAGAAGAGGAGGAGGGAGAGGAGGAGGAGGAGGAGGAGGAGGAGGAGGAGGAGGAGGGAGACCAGGAGGACGAGGAGGAGGAGGAGGATGAGGATAACGAGCAGGGAGAGGGAGCAGGAAGCCGAGGAAGAGAAGGAAGAAAACGAGGAGGAAGATGAGGTGAGCGAGGAGTGGGGGCGACGAAGACGGGAAAGGAGGAGGAGGAGGAGGAGGAGACGGAGGAGGAGACGGAGGGGAAGGAAGACGAGGAGGATAATAGCGAATATTAGGGAGGAGAAGGAAGACCAGAAGGAGGAGGAGGAGGAGGCGCAGGAAGAAGACGAGGAGGAGGAGGAGGAGGAGGAGGAGGATCAGGTGGAGGAGCAGGCGGACGACGAGGTGGTTGAGAGTGATAACGAGCAGGGGGGTGAAGAGGAGGATGAAGACGAGGAGAAGAGTAGCAGGGGGAGGACGAATAGGAGGAGAGAGGCCGCGATCGTGGATCCCTCTGGCCATCAGGAAACAGGAAACAGAGGAGAATCAGGATAGCGAGCAGGGGGTAGGCAGGGCAGGAGGAGGGATACCAGCCTGGAGCCTGGGCTCTCTCTCTCTCTCTCTTTCTCTATCTATCTCTATATCTCTTTGTGGTGGTGCTGCTAGCCGCTGACCTGACTTCTGGCCCTGGGGCTGCTGAGTGCGGCCGCGCGCAAAACTGGAAGCTGCATGCCCTGGCGGCGCAACTCCTGCACCCCGATGCCCAAGCTGCCTCGCGCCCGCTGGCACCGACAGCAGAGCCCGATCAGACCACGAGGATCCTGACCCCCCGCATGCCCCTGGAGGTCCCCGGAGGACGCGCGTTTCTCGTTTAGACCCTGGCCAGGTGGTTTGCATGGCACTGTGCTCCTCCCCCCCCACCCCCCACGGTCACCCCCTCCGCCGCCGTTTCTCCGACCAGGGCTGGGCCGAAGAGGCGTGCAAGGGAGTCCCGACTTGCGTGAAGCGCAGCTCTTCTTTCGGGCCTCGCAACCTCCCCCCCACTCCCCTTCCACGCAAGTAAACCTGCCAGAATCTGGACAGAAACCGACACCAGCGGGGACCCCGGGGGGCAGCGGGGACCCTGGGGGAGTCCCGGAGGTCCAGAAACCGTTGAGCACGTCCAGCAGTGTTCGCCATGACGCAGACGCGTGTCAAGGGAATCGGGCATGATGTGTGCTGCTTTGTTTTCGGGCTCGCGGGCCCCTGGACCGTCAAAAGATAGCTCCGAATGAGAAGCTGGTCCCGGGGAAGCCCCTGGCTTCATGCCAGAACTTCCGGAAGCGTGGAGCAACATCCGCCCTCGATTTTCGAGGGCCGAGGGCAAGATTTGCCACTGAAGCCTGGGATGATGGGCCGATCTCTCACTACCACTACTATAGGGAGGGCGAGGAGGAGGAGGAGGAGCAGGAGGAGGAGGAAGAGGAAGAGGAGGAGAAGGAGGAGGAGGAGGAGGAGGAGGAGGAAGAGGAAGAGAAGGAGGAGGAGGAGAAGGAGGATTAACGCAACAGGCTCGCACCTACTGTTGATCCTAGCGCAAAAGGAGGAGCAGGAGGAGCAGGAGGAGGAGGAGGAGGCGGAAGACCTCCCCGTTCTCCCCCGCCCTACCTGTGGCAGTGGTGGTGGAATGTTGGCCCACCATGGGATCTCTCGCTCTCCTCTCCGGTGCCACGCGAGGAGGGCCCGCGCCGCGCTGGCGCGGCGGCGGCCCCAGAGCGCGAGCGTTCCGAGGCTGGGCGGAAGGACGGGCCCACAGAGCGGCCGCCAGTGCCGAACGCCCTGCGCCATCGGAGAGCCGTGACCGTTCAAGCACTCCACAGCCCTTTTTTTTGGTGCAAAGCTATCGTGTCGATTCGACTCTCTGCGTGTGCGTGCGAAACAAGGATGCCGCCACACACTCCTCACATTCAAACGAATCCTCTCGACCAGAGCAGCGGAAGAGGAGGAGGAGTAGGAGAAGGAGGAGGAGGAGCACTCCACAACCCAGATCCCCCTCGAGTCGTGAAAAAATCACGACGGGAGGCGTTTCGCCATGCTGGGTCTCTGGGGGTCCTGACTGGGCCTCGGGACCGTCAAAGACCGGCTCGGGGCGAAAACCGGTCCCGGGGAACGGGTCCTGACTGCTGGGGGTCGACGTTATGAAAAAATCATGACGTCGGGGGTCTGGGTCGAGCATTCCACAGGGTTCGGAGAAGCGTAAGACCTGGGTTTGCCAGGACTCGGGTTCGCCATCGTTTTTTGACGACCGCGCCTCGGATTTTGACGAGGAGGAGTTTCGTGGGATGTCTGCAGCGGGAGGCCTCGTCAAAATGCAGGCTCAGCCTCGTCATTTTTTTGACGACCTCGTCGGGGATTTCCGAGTCCCCTGTACCCAGGTCTTACGTCCCCCTGAAGGGTGTCAGATACCAGCGTTGACGTCCTCGCGACGTCAAGCGCTGCTGTATCCCCCCGTGTGCGCGAAGTGCCCGCAGCGGCGCGCCCGTGCGGCCGCAGGGAGGGCTCTGGCTGGCAGGGCGTCGCCGGGGGCACAGGGCGTCGCCAGGGGTCGAGTAGCGGGTCGACTACGGAATGCATGTACCCCCAGGAAGCATTTAAGAACCCCCCCCCTCCGGCAAATCGATAACCCTTCCGCACCCTGGAAGCGTTACCTGGCCCCAGGAGCCCTCCGTTGTGTCCGGGTGCTACAGCTATCGTTCGGTTATTTCGGCCCCTCGGAATATCGAATGAAAAATGCGGTGCTACGATATCGCCGGGGGGGTTCTTAAATGCTTCCTGGGGTTACCCCAAAGTTGATTTCCCCCATCGAATCTACGACGAGCGCGTAACATTTTCGTAACTCTGTTGACGAGAGTCAAATTCGGGAGAAATCGATGTTGTAGTCGATCCCCTATTCGAAGAAGAGGTGGCCCGGGCCCAAGGTGCACCCCAGCTTTCTTCGGGAGGCCCAGATGGCTGTCTCAGTGGTGCGACAGCTGCGTCGCGCTTTCGGTCGGGAACGTTTGGTTGGCCAGTTCTGGCCCACCGCGCTGCGGGGCGACACGCTGACGACTTCGCAGTCCCCAGGCGTCCGCGTCCCGAGCCATTCCCAGCCCCTCTCGGCCCGCGGAGCGGAGCGACACGCTAGCAGCTCGCAGGGCGCAGGGTGTCGCCGTGGCCGTGAGCACCCCTGCCAGAGTCACGGGGCCTGTTTCCCGTGGCCCCCTGGTCTGTTCTGTGGTGCCAGGGCTCTCCCGACCAGGGCGGTGGCCCTGCTGGGGGCCCCAGTGGCCGATCCATGTGGGGGCCGTCCAGAAAAACCACACCGCCAGTTCGGGGACCGAGGCCGCGGTCGCGATGAGGATGAGGATCAGGATGAGGATAAGGATGAGGGTGATGATGATGACGCTGATGCTGATGCTGATGCTGATGATGATGATGGTTGTGATGATGATGATGATGATGATGATGATGATGATGATGATGATGATGATGAGGAGGACGAGGAGGAGGAGGAGGAGGAGAAGGATGGGGATGAGGATGACGAGGATGAGGATGTGGATGATGATGAGGAGGATGGGGATGAGGATGAGGGTGAGGGTGAGGACGAGGACGAGGACGAGGACGAGGATGAGGATGAGGATGAGGATGAGGATGAGGATGAGGATGAGGATGAGGATGATGATGATGATGATGATGATGATGATGATGATGATGATGATGGGTATCATGATCATGAGGAGGAGGAGTATGAGGATGCGGATGAGGATGAGGACGACGAGGATGAGGATGAGGATGAGGATGATGAGGATGAGGATGAGAATGAGGATGAGGGTGAGGATGTGGACGAGGATGAGGATGAGTCTGATGATGATGCTGCTAATGATGATGATGATGATGATGGTGATGATGATGCTGATGATGGTGGTGGTGATGATGATGATAATGATGCTGATGATGATGGTGATGATGATGGTGGTGGTGATGGTGATGGTGATGGTGATGGTGATGGTGATGGTGATGGTGATGGTGATGATGATGATGATGATGATGATGATGATGATGATGATGATGATGATGATGATGATGATGATGATGATGATGATGATGTGTTCTTCTAGTGCGCTCGGCTGCACGAGGCAGAGGTCGCATGTCGTGACGCACGCGCATCCGGTCGCTGTATTGCCCGTCCATGGGCACCCGCCACGAGGCCCGGAGGTCGCGGGCGAGAAGCGTGCCCACACACAACACGGCCTCGCGGGCCGGGTTCTCCCCGGGAATTCCAGACACCCCGGGGATGATTGGCCGTGCCTTCGCGGATGCCCCGCGCCGGAGTCGCCTTCCACGGGCGCCCCGGGAGTCCGGACCACGAGGGCGTGGATGTGTGGATGCTCGGGGGTGGACAGAGCCCCCAACAGTGACACGTCGATTAGTGAGTTGTCCGTTTTCGGTTCTCGAGATGGCGCCGCGGCCGTTATTCTCCAGGCTTGCGCCCGCCAGGTTTGGGCCTCAGGTCTGTTTCACTAAACCACGTTTTACTAAAGGGGGTTCTGTCCATCCCCCAGGATATGTGGATACGTCCCCAGACCCCCTCGTGTGATGAAACAGTCGTGACGCGAGGCTTTTCTGAGTTCTCTCCCTCTGGAGGCCCTTATACCGGCCCTCGGGACCGCCAAACAGAAACGGCGCGGGATGAAACACCGGTCCCGAGGATTGGGCCGAGACTTCCGTGAGTCGACGTGGGTCCGGGCCCGCCGCCCGTGACGAGGGCCCCCGCGCGGGGGTCCCCCAGACGCCGCGGACGCCCGGGGGAGCGGCACGCCCCGTTGGGCCCCTGCTTCCCCTCCGGCAGCCGCGGGGAGGGGAGGGCCCTCGAGAGCGAGACCTGGCAGCGGCAGCACTCCATCCAGCTGGCGGGCGCCGCGCGCCTCTCCCTCCGCTCCGGCGCGCCCCCGGCGCGCTGCCCCGCGTGCGGTGCGCGGTGCTCTGCCCTCGGGTGCCCCTCCCCCCCCCTCGTCGCCGCAGCGGGCGGCAGCGGGCGCAGAGGACTTGGCATCGCTCGGACGTGTGTATTTTTTCCTTCGGCGAGGGCCATCGAGGAGCATCCTTGGTCGTTTGACGCAAAAGCCGCACACGAAGCCGAGAAAGGCACAGGGAATGGACGTCCGAGCGATGGCCAGAGGAGGGTCGGGGCATCGGGGGCCGAGGGGGCGTTTTGTCCTACTGCAGTTCGGTCACTGTCTGGGCCTCCAGGGGCGCCCTCGTCGCAACGGCTGGGCGCAGCTCGGCAAGCCTGCCCAGACGGATACCGGGGGGGGTCCAGGGGGTCCAGCTCAAGCGGAGTTGGGCCAGAGGGCCCCAAGACGGCGAAACTGCGGAGCCCGTCTTCGCGGTCTACTATTTGGCGGCGCGCCTTGGAAGGGGAAGAGGGGGTGGGCCCCCTCAGAAGGCTCAGAAGGCCTCGAGCCTTCCGAGAATCTTTCTGAATCCCGCCGCGCTCAAAGAAGCTTCAACGCGGGCGTCCAAGGGACTTGCATCTTTATCGCGTGCAGTCGGACCGAGGAGTAAGATCGAGGTCGGTTCGGGGAGGATGCCCTCGTGTTCTTCGTGTCTCCTGGTGATGGTACCCTTGGATGTTCTGTGCGTCGTTTTGGCCGGCGGAGGATCTCATGTTCTGTGCGTTCGCTTTTGACCCACAGTCCAAACCCGCGCCCTCGACATCCTCAGTAAAACCGCCCCCCGAGCCTCTCCAAGGAGGCCCTCACAGGGCCCCCTTGTTACCGTGTCCGGGAAATCCGGGAAACCCGAGGACGAATTCCAAACCGGCGTCCTCGCGTGGAACATCCTCGGAAAACGGGCTCCCCGAGCCTCCCCAAGAAGACCCTCAGAGGCTCCCTTGCTCCGTTTCCGGGGCGACGAATTCCAAACCGGCGCCCTCGCGCGAGACATCCTCAAAAATTTCGCCCCCCGAGTTTCCGAGAGGAGGCCCTCAGACGCGCGCCGGGGCGCACCGGGCGTGCCCCCGCCGAGGGCCCTCTCGCTCGAGCCGGCCTCCCAAAGTCGACCCCCCGCGCGCGAGAGAGTCCGGCCGCACCGTGCCCCCACGGAGACCCTTTCTGGAGATCTGCTGGCGCGCGCCAATTGGCGCGCCGGGGCGCGCCGGGGCGCGTCCAGGCCAAGGGCCTCTCGCTCGAGACGGCCTCCCAACGTCGACTCCCAGCGCGCGAGAAAGTCGGGCGCCACCGGGCCCCGAAGGAGCATTTCTGGGGATCTGCTGGCGCGCGCCAGGGCGCACCAGGGCGCGCAGGGCGTGTGGCTATCTGGGGCCTCCGAGGACGATGGCAAGGATGAGCAGGGAGGAAGACGCAGGAGGTCGGAGGAGGGGAAAAGGAGGGAGGACGAGAGGCGGAGGAAGAGAGGCCGGTGGATTGAGGAGCACCTCGGTGTCTTAGAGGAGTTTCACGCACCTTCCCTTTCACAACATCGGTGTCCTTCTCCTCTCTCTGTCTCTCTCTGTCTCTCTCTTTCACTTTCTGTCAGTCGTCATCCTCCTTGTCTTCGTTATGTTATTCCTCCTCCTCCTCCTCCTTCTCTTCCTCCTCCTCCCCCTCGTCCTCTTAATCACTGCCTTTCTCCCTCCAGCAAATCAACACCCACGAGAGTATCTTGGCGTGTGGGGGGCGAAACGGGAGTCGTAGCACCTCCTTATATTTCTCTTCATCATCATCATCATCATCATCATCATCATCGTGCTTCTTTCTCTTCTTGAATCACGCGCACTCCCCCTCACACGCCACAGATGGAGAAGAGTGGGTAAGTATGCGGTCTCTTTCTCTCACACAGTTGATTGTTTTGTTTTCTCTCTCTCTCGCGCGCTCCTCACGCACAACGCAAAGGGGGGATCAGGGTGGCGGGGATGAGTGCTCTCTCTATCTCTCTGTCTTACAATCAACACAAAAAACGATGGGGAAACTGGGAAGGAGCAGCGGATGCCCTCCCACACTCCCCACACACACAACAGACGAGAATATGGCAAAGGAAATTGGCTGCTCTCTCACACTGGCCGCGAACACATGATTGACGTGGAACCGGGGTGGGTAAGTGGATGCTCTCTTACACCCTTGCAAAGAACATTGAGGTGAAGTGAGAGGGGGTTGCCGTTGCTCCCCCGCACTCTGCACACACACGAAGAAAGGGGGCGAATGGTGGGTGCAGTGATTGCTCTCTCTTTCTCTCTCGCTCTCTCTGTCTCTCTTTCTCTCTCTCTCTCTCTCTCCCTCTCTCTCGCTCGCTCTCCAAACACAATGCAGAAAGGGCAAAGGGATGGGGCGGTGGTTGCCTCTCGCACTCTCCGTGCAAAACGCAGGTCAGGACTGGGGTGGTTATTCTCTGGAATGGGGTGGTTATTCTCTCTGTTTCTCTGTCCCTCTGTCTCTCTTTCTGTCTCTCTATCTCTCTGTTTCTCTTTCTCTATATTTCTCTTCCTTCTTCTCTCTCTCGCTCTCTTTCTCGTTTTTCGTTCTCTCTCTCTCTCTCTTTCTCTATCTCTCTCTCTCTCTCTCGCTCTCTCCCTGTGTAAGTACATCGTCGATCGTGTATACACACATGTACACCCCTCTCTCCACAGACGCACAATACAGAGGGCGAGCTGGGATTGGGAAGCGGCTGCTGTCTTGCACTCCCGCGCGCAACACGACGGGGAATTAGAAGGTTATCGCGGTTTTTCTCTCGCGCTCATTACATGTAAACCGGGCGGGGGGAATTGGCGGGGGGCCGTGGCTGATCTCCGTGTCTATCCCTCCCTCGACCATCTTTCTCTTCTTCTCCATCTTTACCCGCTCTGCACACGCGCGCACCCGCGCGCACGCATACACGCACACGCACACACACAGACACACACCGTTTAGGAGTTAGCAATATGAGAAATCAGCGGTACTCTTCCCTCCCTCAACGCACACAGCCGGGGAGGGATTGGGAGGGGAAGTGGCTGTTCGTTTTTTCCCTGAGTATCCTGTGCTGTCGGGTCTTCGTTTTGAAGAGACAGCGCCCCGCGTCTGGCCTCTCCTCCTACCCCTCCTCCTTCCCCCCCCCCCCCCTCCTCCCGCTCCTCCCATTCGTTGAACCCCATCGGGGGCTCTACCGAAGGCCCCCGTGGGGATGCCCATACGTGTCCGCCACACCCATCGCAACGCTTCATGGCCCCAGTGTGGGTGCCCGCGTGCGCCCGCCACACCCAGCACAGCGCTCCATGGCTCCGCCACACCCAGTGCAGCGTTTCGTGGCGCGATAAAGGGGGCTCCACCGAAGGCCCCAGCGGCGACGTTCGCATGCGCCCCCCCCCCGCCCATTTCGGCACCCTCATCACGCGCTTCGTGGCCCATGGAGAGCTCCACCGAAAGTTCGCACACGTCCCGCCCAGTCGTCCCCCCCCAAACCCACCCTGCCCGCACTGTTCCGCGCCTCGTTTTTCGTGCGGCGCGCTGCCTACGAGAGCACAGGGTGCACCGCGTGCGCTATTCGGGGTTTGCGCGCCCCCCTCCTTCGTCCCATCTCCATCGCGGTTTTTGCAGATTGGTCTCTCTCTCTCTCTCTCTCTTTCTCTCTTTCTTTCGCTCTCTTTCTCTCTGTCCCTCTCTCTCTCTCTCGCTCTCTCTCTCTCTCTCTCGCTCTCTCTCTCTCTCTCTCTCTATCGCTTGCTCGTTTTCCTTATATTGTGTTTCTCTGTTTTTTTGTTCTCTCTCTCTCTCTCTCCCTCTCTCTCTATTGATGTGTCTCTCTCTCTCTCTCGTTCTCTCTCGTTCTCTCTCGTTTTTTTGTTGTTTCTCTCTCTCTCTCTATATATAGATATAAGCATTTGTTTCTCTCGCTCTCTCTCTCTCTCCCTCTCTATCCTTCTCTCGCTCTATCGTTTTCCCCCTCCTTACATCCCAAAAAGAATGTCTTGCAATCCTGTACGCAAGGAATCGGATTTAAGGTCATCGCAGAGGGAATCACAATAAAACCACCGCACATGCAATCGCATTGTACGCCTCCACAAAAAAAAGAACCCCATTGACATCTCAATGGGGTCCCAGTGTAGTCCTCCACGGCAAGAATTTACCGAAATCAATACAGAAGGCGTCTTGGTGAAATCCGCCACACAAAGGGTCCCATTGACATCTCCCATGGAAGAAATCCGACTGAAGGTTCCGGCAGAAAGAATCCTAAATTAATCCCCCGCGAACGGAACATGGCTAAAACCTCCACAAAAAAAGAGGAATCCGATTGCAATATTCCACGGAAGGAATCGCAATGAAATCCGTGTAGATTTGACCGCAACCCTCGGCAGAAAGCGTCCCACTGCAATCCTCCACAGTTGAAGGCCCCCATCCTCCACGCAAGGAATCCGATTGTAACCCTCCACAAACGGAATCCCATTGAAGACTCCCATGACAGGAATCCTATTGTCACTCTGCACAAGAGGAATCCTAGCGTAATGCCCCACGAAGGGAATCCGATTGAAGGCCCCCATAAAAAAGGAGATCCGATTGCAATCTTCTGCAACAAGGATCAATGTGTAACCCTCCTCAGAATGGAGCACGAGATTTGCTCTACCCCCAAAAAAATATCCGGGTTCAGCAGCTCCGCAGTCCAATTGTTGTGTGTGTGTGTGTGTGGGTGTGGGTGTGTCTGTGGGTGTGTCTGTGTGGTGGGTGTGTGGGTGTATGTGGGTGTGTGTGGGTGTGTGTGTGTGTGCACGCGTGTTCGTGTTCGTCTTCGTTGTCGTCTTTGCCTTCACCTTCATGTTCGTCTTCGGCTTTGTCTTCGTGCTCGAGTTCGTGATCGTGTTCGTGTTCCTGTACGTGTGTGTGTGTTGTGTGTTGTGTGTGTTGTGTGCGTGTGTGGTGTGTGTTGTGTGGTGTGTTTGGATGTA